CACCCACGTGTCCTCCCTGTATCCGGAGATTCTAGCCCTCATCTTCAGCTATCTCGACGTACGCGACAAGGGACGCGCCGCTCAAGTATGCACCGCGTGGCGCGACGCCGCCTACTATCGCTCGGTTTGGCGAGGAGTCGAAGCGCGACTGCACCTCAGGAAACAGGCGCCGGCGTTATTCGCTAGCTTGGTAAGACGCGGCGTGAAGAAGGTACAGGTGTTGTCATTGCGACGCGGCCTCAGCGACGTTCTAAAGGGCGTGCCGAATCTCGAGGCACTCAACTTGTCCGGTTGCTACAACATCACCGACTCCGGTATCACGAACGCTTTTTGCCAGGAATACCCGTCCCTCATCGAGCTCAACCTATCGCTCTGCAAGCAAGTGACGGATACCTCGCTCAGCAGGATAGCGCAGTTTCTGAAGAATCTCGAGCATCTTGAACTGGGTGGTTGCTGCAACATCACCAACACCGGTTTGCTGCTGATCGCATGGGGCCTGAAGAAACTCAAGCGACTGGATCTACGAAGTTGCTGGCACGTTTCTGACTTGGGCATTGCTCATTTGGCTGGACTGAATCGCGAGACCGCCGACGGTAATCTCGCCTTGGAGCACCTGAGTTTGCAGGACTGCCAACGATTGAGCGACGAGGCGCTCAGGCACGTGTCGCTCGGTCTAACCACCCTCAAGTCCATCAACCTGTCGTTCTGCGTGTGTATCACTGATTCCGGTGTCAAACACCTGGCCAGGATGTCGAGTCTACGCGAGTTAAACCTACGCTCGTGCGACAACATCTCCGACATCGGCATGGCGTACTTGGCCGAGGGCGGCAGTCGCATCACGTCGCTCGACGTGTCGTTCTGCGACAAGATCGGCGATCAGGCACTCGTGCACATCTCTCAGGGTCTGTTCAACCTAAAGTCCCTGTCACTGTCCGCCTGCCAGATCAGCGACGAGGGTATCTGCAAGATCGCCAAGACCCTACACGACCTCGAGACCCTCAACATCGGCCAGTGCAGCCGGCTCACTGACCGGGGTCTGCACACCGTCGCCGAGAGCATGAAGAATCTCAAGTGCATCGACCTGTACGGCTGCACGAAAATCACCACCAGCGGCCTCGAGCGGATCATGAAGCTGCCACAGCTCAGTACGTTAAATCTTGGTCTGTGGCACGTGCGGTGATGGCTTTTTCCGTGGCTAAGTGCTCTGGACGAACGCTGCCAACGTTACCGTCATCGTCATCGGCATCGTCATCGTTACCAAGGCGACGACGACTCCTCGCAGCGACCCAAGGATAACTACGTCTTCGCGCGCATGTTCCTGCCGCAGGCGGTAAGTCCGTTTCTGTCGCTCGGCGCACGAAGTCGCCCGAGCGCCCTCGACATCGGTATCTACGACGTCGTCGGCGAATAGCGTAAATAGCGAATTTAGCTCGTTTCTCCGCCCGAGATGGGAATTTCCCCTCTCTCTCTCTGGAGAGAGAGAGCGAAACAACCGCTGGTTCTCGAGGGGCACTGTTTTTCAAGATTGGCCCAATTTTTACCCTTTTAGAGTAAGTTTCCATTTCAAAGAATTTAGAGTTTATTTTCGTACTTTCAACATGACAAATTAAACTCGTCGAAATAATAATTAATTCGAATCTTTAATCTAAAAAATGTTATATGTCGATTACCAACTGCGTGTCGTTGATCGTAGCCTTGGAAGTAACGAGCGAGAATATCCCTGACGCGACGTTCGTTTCTTTTTTTTTTTCTAAATTTTCGAGAGTCGAGCGAGCCGAGAATTGAATCGAGTAATTTGAGACTCGTCGAACTCTTCGTTTAATTAATCTAGCGATCGTCTTTGACGCGCGACGATCAAGTACGATCGGAAATGCGTATGTGTGCTCGAAACGGTCGCTTTTTTTTTTGTTTAGAAAAGAAAGCTATCTTCGAAAAGACGTAATGCCATTTGCCTGAAAAACGGTGCCCTGAAAAACAGGCTCAGTTTTCAATCTTTTAAGAGTGAGATTTCTTCGGAATGACAATTTACTCTAAAAGTTTTAAAGAGAACTCTTATACTGATTACCGTGTTTGCATTACATAACACATAGGGATTACCTTTGCCATGGCAAATTCGAACTCAGCGATGCAATAATGGTTTCAATCTCTAAATTAGTTTTCTTATCGCCATTTTTTTCTTGGAACACGCGAGTTTCAACAAAAATGTTAGTAACAAAAATATGACGTAATGATCAAACGTCTGTGCATCCTGAACAAAAATTATGATATGTACTTTAAGAGTACATAATATACTTTTTTTTTTATTAAATAAGTTGAATTAATTCGAACGTGATAAATATTACTCATTCTTCGTTTGGATGTTTCGGATATAAAACGTGATTATCTTGATAATAATTCACTTATCTTTAATTATGAGCTGTTATACATAATTAATGACTGTGAAGTGCAATATGAAGTAGCACTTTCGACAAGTTTTCTATTTCTATTAACGAAATTGATCAAAGACCAGGGCCAGAATACAATCTTCAGAATACAACTTGAAGTCGCGGGTGCAGGTAAAGACGCTGGTGCAGATAAAGTCGCGGGTGTAGGTCACAGCACTAGCGAAGATCGTGGCGGCATTTTACATTTGCTTATATAAACAACTTCTCCTCTTACGGTTGCTGTTTTTCCAGACTTTCCAAAGTATTTATAAGCAAATTCTAATGGAGTTTCTTGCTGTTGTAATCATATTTTGGATTATTTTTTCTTTTGATATACATCGATCATAACTTAATTTGTTACGTAATTGATCTATTTGTTCTTTAGTATGTTTTAATGTAAACGCTTATTGTTTAGTTTACAATTAAAATATATCATTACATATTTATATTTTTCCCCATTTTAGTTTTATCATATATTACATCAACCTTTATTAAACTTTGATTTAATAATAGTTAATTTTGGATGTTCTGTATGGAGAGCTAATTGATTACGATTCCTCGAGGTTTTTCCTACTAGTTGTATCTGATAGTCATATTCTTTATAGTGAATAATGATTTAATTTTTTAAATTGTATTGCAATGGTTCTACACTAATTATTCGTAGTTTTCACGGGATGGAAGTTTGCGAGGAGGACGGATTGAGTCAGATGCTCGCCGTTGCAGGAAAATTTGAGTACAGGTTGAAGTAGTGGGTGCAGGTCATGAGCGTCGCGACACACATGCAGATGGAGACGCGGGGATATCAAATATTCGCGGATCAAACTCTGCGGAATTGTAATACGTCTTAACAAGGCGTTTTAAAGACCGGAAGCACTTGGATTACTTCATGTAAAATGGGACTAACAAGCGAAAAATTAACCATTTTAAACAAGAGGATTTAGGGAAATGAATGATGAAAAGATGAACTCGATTACCTTAATAATTCGATCTAAATTTCCATTTTGTTTTCGTGTGTGCGTCAATAAATAAATTCAGGTGAAAGATGGCTTGAGCAATCAGAGCGATCTCTATGCTCAAATCAGAATCGTTTAACAACTCAGATTTATCTTCTTGAAAATTATTTACTTTAATGACAGACTCTTGAACAACAATTTGATTGCACAAAATTCCAGCCCAAACATTAATTTTCAGTGGATGTTGTGTGTGGATATCTTTCATCCAATGGGGATTTTCGTCTGACCAATATCGCATGTTGTGCCTATTAACTTCTCCACTCAACTGAAAAGTAGCTTCATCGGAGAAGCATATCCAAAAAGGAAATGACTCATTTTCGTCACACCGTCTCATCATTTCCTCACAAAATTCTAATCTGCGATCGAAGTCGTCTTCCGAAAGTTCTTGCACATATTTTATCTTATAAGGATGGAACTTATTTGCTTTTAATACTTCATGGACAGACGATTTGCAGATACCAGTTTGTTGCGCAATCTTTCTAACCAAAGTATGGGCGATATATAGTGAAATATAGTCGGTGTCAAACAAGTAAATTATTACATTAAGGGCTATCTACATAAGTCGCAAACGCAGAACGCAGTTCGCAGACGAATTTGCGACAGCCAATCAAAAGCGTCAATGGTACTAATAACAGCTTTTGATTGGCTGTCGCAAATGCGTCTGCGAACTGCGTTCTGCGTTTGCGACTTATGTAGACGGTCCTTTACAGTGATGAACAATATAAAAGCAAATTACAAACTCAAATTATATTCATTACATTCATTTATCACATGCTTGATATCTATATTAATCTTGAATAACCGTGATTATTCTTGACTAGATCAATATTAAACTCGTGTAGATTGGTTCTTCAATCAAGCAATAAGCGCTAAATCTACTATAGGGCGATGATAAGACGATAACACGTGCAATGTTTTCGGTGCAGAAAATTAATTAACGTACTTTGTTACGCTATAAAAAAATCGCACAGTAAACGTTATGATATGTGGGCAAGTCATCATTACCTTCGTTTAGTCTTTACCTTCACCAAAAGATAAATTGTGATAAGATTCCAAAATGACAGTATAAACTGATGAAAAATTTCGCAATTGAATGAAGATTTACTATAAGATGATTTACTATAACGTAACAGTTTTGTCAGAATAAGATTTCTAAATGACAATTGAAAAAAATTAATGGATACAAATTTCTAAATGATATTTGTAAAAAATTTAACAAATTCAATTTGAGGTGTAAATATTTTAATAATTTCATCGCCGATCCGATACGACGCAACGAATGCGTATTTTGTAGAAATTAAATTAGTATCTACAATTATAATGAATAAAAGATATATATTGGCTGTATTAAAGTACAGAATCGGTGGTTAGAACAACCGTTACAATGCAGCTTAGAATGATCGGTGTGATATTCTATAAAGAGTAGTGGAAATCTATCTTTGACGATAACTTTATTAATTTTACGATAGTCAACACATACACGTGGGGAATCATCATTTTTTTTTTTTTAACAATGAGTACTGGCTTGCAAACTCTGAAGAACAAGACTCTCAAAAATTGATATTGTCCATGATGCGATGTCTAAACGTTTTTCAGCCACACTGCAGTTACGATGATCGACACAGTAGCAAAATATCAGCAGATTCTAATTAAATATTCGGTCAAAATGATAAATATTTCAAAAAATAATTCTTACGCGCATCGAATTTTTTATTCATTTTACAATTAGATATTTATTAGAGACACTTTGTCTTTCGATTTACGTAGAACATATGTTCTACTTCTGCGGGATATTTTTACAGGATTGTAAAAATAATAAAAATAATAAAATGGATTGCAGTAGCATGTAGAGGAGTATCAGTACAGTATAAAACATAAAAACAATATATATATATATATATATAGACATATATATATTTAAGCCCGGTCGCGGTCGCTTGAAGGGGAGATGGGCTTTCTAAAATGTTGCATATTTTTATTGAAAGCGTCAAGGTTGAATGTTGTTGCAATCAATAGTTAATATCTTTATTCCAAAATAGGCGAACTCTCATACCCCTCAGAAGGGTGCAAGGGATACTGGGTCATACTGGATCAAAGTAGTAAATTTTTTCTGAAAAAAAATCAATAGCGACAAAGTTGAATTTTTATCTATTTGGATATAATTTGGATATCAATTGTCGAGAAATATCATTCCCATACCTTTTAGATGATCACGAAAGCAGCCATATCTACCCGAACACATACAATTTTCTTACTCCATGTAAAATAGTTCATATTTTTTGGTTTAAAACCAGCCATACTCGCTGCAATCTCCTCGCAGAGAAGCCTACTCCTTGAAAAGAGTTTGCAAGCGACCTCAAGTTTGTACAATGTCATGTTAATTTTACGAATAATTCCAGTAATGTACAACTTCCAAGAGAACACGTTAGTGACTCTCTAAGAACTTTCACACAGACGTTTCACGAGGGAAGGGGGGGGGATGACATTTCCTTTTGAAGGAAGGATATTAGTGTGTAGCAAATTAATGGAATGAGAGATATTGAGTATCTCAGTTTCTCAGTTTTATTAGATTCTGTTAAAAATTCAATTATTTCGAATAGTAGTAACGTTGATCCAGTTATCAACTAACAACGTCAATGACTCTTGGGACACACGTTAGTGATAATTCAATTGTTATCAGTATAAAAATCGTATTTAGAGATAAGATAATATTTTGTAGATAATATTCTATAGGCAAATTAAATAAATGACGTAGAGACAGTAATGAACAAACCTTTGAGCAAACTCTTTGTGAGATACGAGTTCAAGACACATTATCATTTCTATCATTTTATGGTACTTTTTTTATGAATGATTTTATCCACAATAAATTCCATCTAGAAGTTGCCAAATCATCATTTTTAAACCAATTTAAATAGACTTCTTTTAAAACTTTTATTAGATCTTTCCAAAAGTAATTATAAAAACCGATTAATAATAGTTGTGCCATTTTTTTCAGGAATTGTTAACTGTGAATGTTCTGACCTTCTTACCCTTAAGTGATCTAAGAAGAGTATTCCAGGGATGCGTATATGAGGGGTGAATGTATCCCACTCAGGGAAATATGCGTCGAGGATGAGGGCGTATCCCACTTCTAAACTGTAAGATTACTAGGGAGAATGCGAACGTTAAAAGGACGTAAATATATCTCAGTATCACCTATCATATCTATTTTTTAATGTAATTTCCTTAATCTTTGA